CCCTGAAATTCAAGTAAGGTCAGGAAGGGAAAATGTTTGGTGGTTCCTATAATTCTAACCTAGAGTTACTAAGTTACATCTCATATTTTCTTTAAACATCTGATTTATTCTTTCAGATACTTAATAAGTCTTGTCAGTTCAGTATGTTCCACTGAACTTGCAGCCAAATATAGATGGTTTGATGAATTTCTTTCTTTAAACCTTGTGTTGACTAAATCTTTATTTGATGCTTTCTCTCTCTTTTATTTTTTTTAAGTGATTGCTATTGGAAAAAATGTAGTGTCTGTGTTCCCCTGGAACAGCTAAAAAGCCATTTGGCTATGCTAAGGTTTCAACAAATCATATTTAGATTGCTGACATTGTTTTCATGGAAACCAAATAAATTGATGCCACTTCCTGGGTTTAAAAGATGTGTTCATCTGTTGTGTATTTCATGTAGTCTTTTTTTTTTTTTTTTTCCCTTTCCTCCCCAAAAATATTTTTGTGGTTACTTTGCTTTAGGCACTAACTAGCAACATTTTAGACAGTAATCTTTCTCTGTGCCATGTTTTGTTTATAAAAGATAACTGATCTGGTTTACTTCAGAAGGGCACATGAGCAGCTACAATACACTATTGTCTTACAGGTAAATGACCAATATGTGCTGTAATCCTGTCTTTGCAGAAAGAGTGCATTACATAAAACTTGAGGTATTTCATTGTCCAGGCATGAGCAAGACTAGTTAAAATAAATGCAGTGTTGTAAGGGAAGCTGTTGTTGTAACATCAAGTACCTTGATAAGAATATGATTTAATTGTGTTTTCTTGTAAATCACTCGTATGTTCATGATGAAGTGACTTGGTTTGGCTTTTTTCAGTAAGGATCACAAGACTCCAGGAGGCACACAAGCTGTTTTGAATCAAACCTTTCTGAAAATGGAGTACTTGACAGTTATGAATAAAGTTATTTAACAGTCAACTTCCTGTGGTTTACATGCATTTCTGAATCAGGAGGAGGCTGAAGGGCTGCAGCTGAGATGTGTATACTCCATCTGAATAAAAAAGGGCATCTTCTACATGGAATCAAAGTGATTGCTTAAATCTGATATTCTGATATGATTTATTTTAATACTGTGTTAAAAGAGCAAAAGCGCAGTCACCTAACACTGGAAGATCTTTGAAGCTAATGTGTAGGCCATTCATTCTGTTGTACTAATGTGCGTTCAAGAAGTTCGCTTTATTGCAGTATGTCAACACGCGTATGAGAAATGCGCTCAAGCCTGCGTTTGACTTTGTCACTTCTATTGGCATCTTTGGGCCTGTGGTTTAAGTTAAGCAGAAGGAAGCGAGCAGTGGATCAGTAAGGCTCAATGGTATGGTTCCTGCAGGGTAACAGATCATTGGTGACCTTCAACCACACTTCAGAAGTTTGCAGTTCAGAACAGCTCAACCGTAAAAATTGCTTTAAAGGGTTCACCTGCATTTAAAAAAATGCAAGAGTTCACCTGTGACTAATTTAAGACCTTCACATCATTATATTTTTTTAACTAGACCTTTAATTTAAATTTCCATTGTATGTGCTTACAGAACGTGGGTGTGAAGACAAAGGGGAGTGTAATGGAGAATGATAGAGTTTTTTAGTGGGGGCAGATCCTGCAGTTTCTCAGTCTGCTATTGATTTTGTCCTTGACATGGGTCCTTTGTGGCATGATGGCAAGCAGATTAACTGCTGTAACAGCCACGTGGCAGGGGCTGGACGTGGTGAGCCACACTGGAGTTACTGGGGCAGAGTGGGGAAACCCAGGTTTTTTTTCTAGTCATCTCGGGTAAACCAGAGAGTTTACAGTTTGTCTAAAGGGAAATTTTAGAATGCAACAACTGTCTGTTGAACACAGCCATTTAAATATAGCCACTGTCATAGATTTACAGAGTGAGATCTAGTTGTGTATCTAATATCAAGAAAAAGTAGCCTAGCACAGAAGCTGTCTTTGGAGCTGTTGTACAAGGTTGTGAATAGATTGTTTTCTTACTCAGTTTTAACAATTGCTGGCATTAAGGCTTTCCTTAGTTGTTGTGTGGTGGGTTTTTCAGTGGGTTTCTGTTCGTTATTGCATACAATACATAGGCTCACCCCTTTGGAAAAGGATCGGAAGCCTTGCTTGGTTGCTTTATAATGCTGCCTTTTTGAGGCTTGTTTAAAATGGGTCAAAACTCTTCAGTTCTACAGTAGTGCATTCTGATAACAATCTGTTAGTCGTAGTAGTTTGCTGTTCAAGAGTATCTGTAGTTTGCAGAGCTTAGCCTGCTAAAATGAAGATGTCCAGGTCAGATCGAAAACTGCCACTAGTTGAGGCACTGGCTTGTAGCTGTGTGATGTGGAGGGGTGTCTGGAACATGATGGAAGAACAGATGACGAATTTGAAGGTGTTGTTAAGTTCTTGATGCCATGCAAATTGATAAAAGCCAATGACTAAGCAACTTTTATCCTTAAACACAGAGTTGAGTCATGTTGATGGCACTTGCTTGGGGTGTCGTATTAGTTGCCTAAATAGATTTTCATAAGGGAAGAACCCAGAGTCTGAGCCAAAGATGTGGAGGAGGGAAACTGGTATGTCACTGCTTTATTAACTGTATTATGCCTGTAACTGATTGTTTTTATAGTTCAATCTCTTGAGTTTTAGAATGGCCACCTTGATATTTGTCTGCCATTGACTTTGATACGCAGCAGCTCAGAAAGCTAAGCAGTCTTCTTGGTGTGCTTTCTGGCAGTTACTTTACTGTTGGATATGTGGCTCTAGAGAGTTGCTGTTGCTGCAGACCAATGTATTTTGCATTCATGTTTTCAGGAAATCCCCTCTTTTGGGAAGCTGCTTCTGGGGGTGTTTTGTGACCTTTACAGGCTGTGGCTTACTTGTCTGCTCCAACTGCTCAATCCATTGCAGTAGCAATAAGCCCTGGGACTTAAAGAAGAGGTAGTAACTCATGCATTCCAGTACTGCAGAGTTAATGCTTATTTAGGGAGTAGGCATTGCCATAAGTAGTATAAAAAAGAGCTGTCTAAGATTAAAATACATGTATGCGTGCGCACACACACATACACACACACACGCATACTTAACAGCCTCTGAGGCCCAGGTATTCTAGAATAAATACCTCCACTTAATGAGTCTGAAATCTGGCTGATTTTTATGTAGTCCTGTGGGGGACGGAGGGTTGCCAGCTCCTACTAGGACCTAAAAAGGAAACTAAGTCTGACCTTAAACTTTATTTTGTCTTAATATTCAGCTACAGACAGTGGTCTTAGTACTTGGAAGGCCTGAATTCTGATCCTGTTACTCCTGCTTGTGAAGCTTGATGGATCTGTGCATCCAGGTTTTGTATTTTTATTTTCTGTGAAATAGGAATGCTCTTCCCCATACACTTTTCTTACAGGATTGAGGCGAGAATGGATTTCTGAAGTGCTGAAAAAGATGTAGGTGTAAAATACTGATGTCATTGCAAGCAGTTGCTGCTGTGTGCGGCCAGGCTTTAAAATGGTTAGTGTTACTGTTGCAGTTTGTCACCCTAGAGAAAATTGGTAATGTTAAGCCAAATGGAAGGTAAAATAAGGTAGTAGAACTGTGCTGGACCCTTTCTCTGCAGGTGTGTCGAGCACAAGGCGTGTTTCAACCAGAGTCCCACTCTTGCCTAATTAAAAGTTGATGTTCAAATTGCACACTTAAAGGTGTGGTATCTACTTGTATTGCGTAACTTTTTTTTAGTACCTGGAAAACTTGAAAAGGTACCTGGTTTATGTGTCTGTCAGAACCCTCTTGGGACTGTTATTTACCCTACCCTACTTTACTGCTGCTTAGATGACACAGTTTAGTATTGAGGTTTGATATTCTTCCTAGATAACTTTGTAGAGTTCAAATTCAAGTGAGGGGGGGTTATTATCAGGGTGTAACTCCTGTCCTAATCCACTTGTCTGCCTTAGATGTAGTCACCTCAGCCTTGGATGCTTCTTGAATTTCTTGTCAAGAAAATACAGTCACAATTCTTGCTCTTCCACAGAGTGAAAACACAGATGGCTTCTTTTCTGTATTTACTATAAAGTAAATAAGTTACAGCTTGGTAATCAAGAGCTTTCAAAAGAAAGCATGTTTCTGCTTATGTGATGATGCTGAGAATACTAGAAAACGTACTACACTCTTTTGCAGTAAATTCAATCAGTACATTACCCGTGCATGTGAACTCAGGTTCCGCAGCATCCTTTTAAGAGTTCTTCCTTAATCCCAGCACCCTAATGGAGTTCTGGAGAGCTGACTGTATTTCAAGTTTACAATAAAATCTTTAGTTCTGCATTACTGGAGGGATTAAAAACTGCAGTTACTATTTGCAAGGACAGCGATGGCTTGAATCTGGAAGATAACCTGTATAGTAGATGTGATATCATGGAGTATGGCAGCACAGAGCTAGCTCTGTTTGTTACTCCGAGAGTGAGGAGTTCTTGTCCAACTTGGTCTCTGATAGGAAACTTTAGTAAAATGCTTCATCTGTTGTGGTTTCTCATCCTCCATTCTGCTAGTCATTTGCTGTGCTCAGGGGAAGTACCTGTATGAATGGGATTGTATGGCAATGCAGTTATAAATTAACTCATCTCCAGTGATTACTCCCTGTACCTGAATGCCTGTATGTGCAGACTCTTCAAAAGGTTAGAAGAATTGAATGTATCTTTTCATAATGAAGCTGTGGTTGCTTCGTTGATACTCCCTGTGGATAACACTGTAGGATTTATTTAGCAATTCTAAACTTGGAAAGAATTTAACTATTATAAATGTGCTTACCTATGCTTTTAAGCTTAAATATTAACTGGCCTAAAATAAAACATCAGTTTTGTTCTTAGGGTAGCTGCTTAAAGAAATGATAGTGATTAATGCTTAAAACACTTAAATCTATATTTCGGTAAATTAAGTGGACTTAAGAATGTAAACTATTGGGATCAAGTGTGCCACTTATTTAAATAACTGCTTTTTTTTTTAGGGGGAATCTGTAAAGTATTTCTTGGACAACTTGGATAAACTTGGAGAACAAGTAAGTTCTTTTTACTTTTTTTTTAATTGTTGTTGTTGAGTTTTAAGTAGTCTTTGTGATCTCTGGGTTTTAAACAGATGAAATGTAATTAGTGTCTACTCCAGTAACTTTAGTTAACTTTGACTATCCCATTATCTCAGCAGTTCATCACTGACATGTCAAAAACACAAGGCAATGCAAGGGCCAAGAGACTTTCTGTAAATAGAAATCCTGTAGAAATTGAGCAAAAACCAAGTTACAAATGCTTGTCCAGTCAGAAGACTGTTAAAGTAGCACTTCAACACTAATTGATACCCAAAAATGACTGCTTTTGTTTTTACATATTCAGTTAGGAAGACTTAAGTTAAATCAGTGCACAGATCAGTGGTACCCTTCTGTAGTATCTACTTCAAAATAAATGAACTTGGTACAGAATAAAATCTGTTTTCTCTGGGAAAAAAGCTGAAACTTCTGTAGAATACTTTTTGATAGAAATGTTGGTTACTGCTTGAATAATGAAGTTGTACGCCAATGCTCATTAGTCGTGTATTGCAGAAATGACATGCGGAAAAACTGCCTTTAAAATGGGATGCTAGCTTCAACTCCATGGGGAGGCAGTTTCTCCATGGTCATTTCCAGCTGGTGGCTAACAAATGATGAAGGAATCCAAACCACTTCAATTGAATCCTGTTACATCATGCTTAATTTAATTTTTCTTTTTCTCTTTAACAGATAAAAATTTAATTTTAAGCCACACTATTTTTCTCCTTTGAACTGTCATTTTTCTAAGTAGAGCACTGGTGACCATCTTGCAGAATGCATACGCTTCCCAGATATCTTGCTTGACAAATCCAGCACTCACTCTCTGAATTTTGATTTGGTCTTGCGTTGTAAGGCAATATGAGAACTGCACTCACTTTAATGAACTGCTAAACTTTCTGCTGACGGTGGATTTCTCATGGTCTTTGAATCCAATGCTGCTTTAGTTTGGAAGGTGTTTGTGGGGTTTTTTTCCCCACACACTTTCAGTCATTTGGGTAAATATTTTTGCAGCTGCTTTTCAAAGTTCTTTATTTAGAAACCTTGGTCCATTCTTTGATTAAAGCGTGAAACTTGAAGTCACTAATTTTTTTTACATTTTTGTATACACACACATACACTTATTGTAGGTCTGATGTTGCTGTGGGAACACTGAGCTCTGAATTACAGCTTTTCCAATTTAAAGTTAGGCCAAATGGTGTTGAGATACAGAGGGATGCTTAAAGATCTGCTGTCATAGAAAATGTTAGGTCTTTGTGGAAAAAGTGCTGGCTAAGTTTTGTTACTCAGTGAAAGATTTGATAGGGTCTTCTGGTTTATTGTTATCTATATGCAAGATTTGTCTAATGATTGTTTCCCCAAACTGTATTAATAGGAGTATTTTACTGTTCTTACCTGTTATCTGACACAACTGGGCTGGCCTGCAACTAAACTGCTTATAAACAGATAGACCTGGAATTCATGTGCCTCTTGCTGAAAGGGAGCTCATGTGCCTCTTGCTAAAAGGAGGCTGATGATAATAATGCATAGGGAAAAGAACTTAATGTTCAGATTTAATCAGATCAGCAAAATAAGAGTAGTTGGCTGACATATACACATGGGATCGGCTGGATTCCTTGCAACTGTTTGTTGTTATTTCAACTGCCAGTACAGACTATATGCATTCAAAATATCTCAGAGAGAGACATTGCTTTCCATGTTGTGATTGGATCTTATTCATGCCTTAGATTCTAATTTTAACTAGGCAAACAGTGATGTGATAGCCAAAGTTGCTACCTGGTAACCAGAAGTCCTTTAAAAGAAAACAGACTGCAGTGAATTTGAGGAATGACATAATTCAGGAAGAAAGCACATCTTCTGAATCAATATGTATCCTTAGGAAGAGCTGCACAGAAAATAAACCAAAAAAACAACAAACCTTCCCCCTGCTCGCCCCCTGCCCCCCCCCAAAAAATATGGAAGAAGGTGAAAAAGAAAACAGCCAACATGGAAGATTGGGCGAAGTGTAGAAAAGGAGAGTGTGCTTGGGGATGCTTGCAGGAAAAGTACTGATTGATAATGGCAAAACATTGAAAGGACTTTGAAAATAATACTTGGCACTATCCAAGGAAAATATTCACCTAATGTTGCGGTCTTCAGATACGGAGAATGGGATCAGCAGTGAGAAACGGGCTAGTTCATAATTGCTACAGTGGCAAGCTGCTAGTATTCCAAGGATCTGGGCATGAGGGAGAATACACAATCATCCTTCAAAAAGATAACTAAAATACCGGGAGATTTCTTAGGAGTTGTATTTAGTTTCCTGTAGCCAGATGATGGCTGTATACCAAGCACTTGACTTCCAGTGCGCTCATTTGCAGACTGTTGCATCAGGGTAGCCATTATCTGGTATAAAACATGGTAGGTCTTCTGTGCATGTAGAACTTGAAAGCACTTGAAAGGATTTTAATTGTGGTTGCAAGTGTGAGAGGAACTTTAAATAAGTAATACTCGAGAGGGAATTTGTCAGGAATTCTACAGATGAGCTCCTTGTTCTTGAAAGCTTTACCGAATAAACATTAAAGGCGAACTCCCAGAAGGGTTTGCTTTGTGCTCTTGTTTCAATATTGAAGGTATATATGGCTTTGCCTATTATATTAATTGATTTTATTTATTTACTTACTTTAGCAAACTTTCTGATTTTGTTCTGAGAACTTGAGACTAATTTCCTGAATAACAGAAATGTATACGTTCCTGTTTGAAAGATGGAGTAAGTGTTAAATCTGTGACATTCTCTTGCCTAATTGTTAACAGTCAGATTTGCTCAAAATCCCTTTGCATGTGCCCACTGACATTTGATATAGTCAGTGCTCTATTCCACCAGTTGTTCTCCTTGAAACAATTTTTGGTAGAAGAGACCCAAGATAAATGTAACAAAATCTTATTACCCTTTAAAGTTGCTTCTTTTAATCAGACAAGGGGGTGGCAGCACGTGCCTGTTGTTCAGTTTGGAGAGAACTTAGAGAACTGCTTTAGCAGTTCAACTCCCCTGCAGATTTAGGTGGTGCAGGTTTTGGATGTGTAATAGTACTGCAGCAAAAAGTGCAGGGTGGGGAGCCTGTGCTTCAGAGAGCTGCTCTGTAATTCGTGCCATGATAAAAATCGATGCCTTAGTCATGGGCAGCTCGAATAAAGAAACCAGGAACTTCAAACAAAACAGTCTCTCTCTAGCTAGTTTCACTTTTGAGCTTGCATAGTAAAGCAAAGTGGTCCTTGAGTTTTTGGAACATTACGCTCACTTCATCATTTTTAAAATTGCTTTCTTAAAGGCTGTGGATCAAACTTCTGCAGCTGCCTTAAACTTGGAATATCAGTATTTGAATAGCTATGTAGTTGTGTTTTTGTGTCCCCTCCACCCCAGCTTACTAGTTGAATCAGACTTTCTGGACCATAGTCTTGTACATCTTTATAAAAGCTCCAAATCTGGTAGCTGGCACTGTCAAAGGAAGATTGTACATAATTCGCTAAGAGGGGACTAAAATTCCAGTTCTGAAACCTAAGTTGTTCTCTCTGAAGTTGTGAGAAATGCTGGAAGAATGTAAGAGTTTCCATAATAAGTGAACAACAAAGCTTTAAACTTCAGCGTCAGCCAGCTGTCTGTTATAGATGCACTTTTTAAATAGCAGAAAGACTTGGACCATATGCAAAAGTGTAATTCTAAGAATTAAGAAATCCCCAATATGAGTTTTGAATTTCATGCTGTTGAAAGGTGACTAATAAGAATTCCTCTTCCTGGTAGCATTTGCATCCGTTGATGATGACTGTTCATGTAACAGTCAAAAAAAAATAGTAAAAACGCCCTTACCCTGCTTATTTAATTCTGGGGCAAAAGGCAGCCTGGAGAGCTTCAGGGTGTAGCTGTCTTGGGTGCCCTCCTAGGCTGTACTGCTGGGAAGGCGCTGCTGTCCTCAGCTGCCTGTTTCTTTGCCTGTTCTACTAATTGCACAGAATGTTTTTGGACAAAATAAGGCTGCACAGGTGTGGCACGCAGCTAATTGAAGAGGCTTTTTGGACCAATACAGCTGGGTGCAAAACATCCGTGGCACAAATGCAGCAAGTTGCTTAGGTTTTGCTTTTCTGGTTGCCTTAAAAATTAGTTAGTGGAGCAGCTCTTTTTTCTAGGAGCAGTTGTGCAGTATGCAGGAGAACATGGGAGGAACTGAGTGCACATAGTTAGAATGGGATACTACCGTGGTTACTGATTTGAGAAACCTGTTTTAGACCCCGTTTGCTGCATTGCAGTGTTGGCAGCCAGCATGTTTCCCAGCTTTGTGGGAAGAGGGTGAATGAAGCATAAAGTAATCCAGAATGAGGGAAACTGGCATGAGGAATTGATGGTACACCTCTCAGATTGTTTATGGATCCTTGTTATGTGGCAAATGGAAAGCTTCAGTTCTCTGGGATACATGTTTTGATTTAATATTGCGTGTGTTTCCTGCCTTGGACTCTAGATCTTTCCAAAATGCTTCAGTGTTAGCATATAAATATACATACATGTGTATGTTTATTGAAAACCTTGTGCTATTCCTCTGCAAGCTTTTATCTTGATTGCAAGTCAGCTGTGATCACCATGCCTATGACTTCTATCCTAATCGGCAAACTCTCCTTTTTTTTTTTTTCTTCTTTTTTTTTTTTCCTTAGGATTATCTTCCCTCACAGCAAGATATACTGCTGGCACGAAGACCCACAAAAGGGATTCATGAGTACGACTTTGAAATAAAAAATGTTCCTTTCAAAATGGTTGATGTAGGTGGCCAAAGGTCAGAACGGAAACGGTGGTTCGAATGTTTCGACAGTGTCACATCAATACTCTTCCTTGTTTCCTCAAGTGAATTTGACCAAGTGCTTATGGAGGATCGGCAAACAAATCGCCTTACAGAATCCCTGAACATTTTTGAAACAATAGTCAACAACCGGGTTTTCAGCAACGTCTCAATCATTCTCTTCTTAAATAAGACGGACTTGCTTGAGGAAAAAGTACAAAAAGTGAGCATCAAAGACTATTTTCCAGAGTTTGAAGGGAATCCCCACTGCTTAACAGATGTCCAAAAATTCCTGGTGGATTGTTTTCGTACTAAACGCCGGGACCAGCAGCAGAAGCCCCTCTACCACCACTTCACCACTGCTATTAACACAGAAAACATCCGGCTAGTTTTCCGTGATGTTAAGGATACCATCCTTCACGACAACCTCAAGCAGCTTATGTTACAGTGATGTGCAAAAAGACATTTTTATTTGAGTAACTTTTGTGTGTTGTTTTGTTTTTTTTTAACTAGAAGTTTACAGCAGGAGTAGAGAAATCCAGATCCTGTCAGACTTCTTGATATGTGGCTAAAAGCTGCTGCTGAACACATTATTGCCAATTTCTGCAGAAATTCAGGCTTAATCTATTCCAGTGTAGCTTCAAGTTGACTCGAGTTGTAATTTTATAGCAGACCTATGTCTAAGTTACCTGTAAAGTGATAAATTTGACCTTTTACAAACATGTATATTATCCTAGAACATTCATTCCACCTTCAGAATTCAAAGTCCAAACTTCAGTGAAATTGTTGCAATTGTTAGACTGTGGCAGTAATTTAAGGGGGGAAGAAACTTTTCACATCGAACTTCATTATGAAGACTGTGATACCATAGCTGACTTATGATTTCTCAGGTCTATTGTTGGTTAGAAATCCCATAAATCCCTTGTTGGAATCATCTGTTTGAAGCTAGGATTCCTGCGTGTAACATACTTCCTGTTCAAGTATAAATCTTTGCATGGGGTTTGACTGGGAGGTGCTTTAAAAATACTTAGATTGGGAGCTTCAGACATATCTGGCAGGAAGTACTAATGCAGGCAGAAGTCTAGTGATGAGGAATTAGTGAATGGCACAGTACACAGTTTCACTCTATTGCATTGTATGTACGTCTTGGAGCCATGGCAAAGCACAGAGCACTATGATACGGTCCTCTTGAAATTCTGATGTGGGAAGGGGGAGCAAGCTAAACTTGTATTTCTTATCTTCACTAACCAGATGTTACATGTAGGTACCTTACCTGTTCTTGAAGCGCTTTCATATAGCACCAGTTTATTTTTACTTTCTTCGTGACTTCTTACAGCGTGCCTCATCTTAATCAGTAAGCATTTGGTGACGGATAGAAGTACTTGCAAACCTAAGTGCCTCCTTGTGTTCTGTCCTCTTACGGTATTTTCAGTGGCCTTATGTGAGCATATGTGTTCCAGCAGAGGCCTTGTGTAGCTGACACCATGAAGATGAATGTTGTCTTCTGAAAAAAGAACATGTCACAGCAGAACATGCTTCAGCTGATGAGGTTCTTTCTGAGACTTTCCAATCGGGTCTAGCAATCCTAAGTGTACTTGAGCCAAATATGTTGCACAGCATACTCCAGAGTGCTGCTTGTGACTGAGAGTATTTTACCAAAAGTTCCATTGCAGTTACATTTTTTTTTTTAGGGGCGGTTGTTACCGTTGCCATGTGATTAAAAAAAAAAAATATTTCTTGCCCAGAAATCCTCATGCACCACACAGCATACTACAAAATGAGAGTAAGCTTGTAAGCTTGTGTTTTAAAAAGTACTGCCGCTACCAAGTTTCCCCCAGGCTGTAGTGTCACATAGGCAGTTCAGCTTGCCACTTTGCCCCATGGAACTGGCCAATTCCTGTGGATTGTGATTCTGGCCAATACTTTCTTAAATGAATTTTTATTAACATACCGCACATGTGGCAAGCGGTGTGACATAGTATTCTCACTGCTTGGAGCAGTGTCCCTGTTAGAACATAGGAAAGCTGCCTGTCTTCTGAACTTAGCCTTTTACTTACTGTGATTGTAAGTTGTATTAACATCTCTGTACCTCATTCTCCTGTCAGTAGAAGGGGAATAGTGTATTTTTATTTAGTTAGGTGCTTTGAAAGACCTCTATTTTTTTATATCATCCAATGAGTAGTCATAGATTAGTCTGCGATTTCTGCGATAAGGCACTGTTTTGGGAGGAAAGAATTCTGAAGAGCTTGGGAGAAGTTACAGTGCATAATCTAAACATAAACATAAAGTCTGGGTGCAACACTGATGTCGGGAGGATTAATATAACCTTTAGATGGGGATGTTTAATGTAGATTTTGCCTCCTTAGTGGACATGGATATGATTACTTCTGGTTTGATGTGTTCAGGTAATATGCGAGCAATTCAAGAAGGATGATGAACTAGAGACCTCAAAAAAGGATAGTGAGGCTGTTTAAAAGATGGGACAACATGCCTGTAATGGGAGTCCAGGAGTTTTCCATTTCCCTCTTTGGAGAAGGATGACTGGTTGATTTGGTTGAGCTATAAATGCTACATGAGCAGACAACAAACCTCTGTCTGGTAGCCGCAAAGTCCGGTGGTGTAAAGTAGAAATTGAATAAATCCATGCCCTTGTCAGTCAACAAGAGAAGTAGTAGGTTTGGTTTTTTCCTTTGCTGACAGTTGTCTGAACAAGTTTTTTTTGTTTTGTTTTGCTTTTTTTAAAAGAGACTTACCTCTGCTCTGATTAAAATAATTAATTTGGAGAGGGTCTGTAGTATGTGTTTTGCAGGGTGTCAGACTAGATGATTGCAGAAGAAACAAAAGACTGGATAGTGGATGATATGAAGATTACCAGGAATTTGTCTAAACAAATTTGTTTATGTAAAATGTTGATGAATTTTGTGTCAAGGGACCTGTTAATTTACTAAAGATCCTCAAAATTGGTGTCAGTCTAAGGATATAGTCAGTATCACTAAGGCGCTGGGCACTTCTGACGTTAGCTAAAGGAGGAAAAATATTCAGCAGGCTTCTCCCCTGCAGCAACACAAAAAACCTGGTTTTAATCCTTTCAGATCACTTTCCCTGTGAACACCAGGGCCTGTAAGATAGCAAGGTAGACCCTGCAATGTTGGGTCACTTCTGACAAAGTAGGCCCTGGTAGAAAAGCACTATATGAATCTCAGGCAGAAATGAATTATTTTAAAGAAATGACTGAGTCAAATCACTCACGTTTCCCACTCCCACTTCTTTAGACAGGGTGAGGCAACTAACCTTGATGTAACTGTTTACATGGTTCCTATGTTAACATACTGGCTAAACAAACCGAATCAACATTTGGCTTTTCCATCTTCAAACTTACTCTTCATCAGCTACCTGAAAAGGAGCACAGCATGTACTGTTGTATTTCTTTTTAGATTTGTTTCTAAATATTATTTCTTCATAGCAGCATATCATTTTGGTACAAGAGCTGAAGGATTGATGTTTTGAACAGACTGATTTTTATCCTGAAGCAAACAAATGAGTCACGGTTGGCTAGTAAGAGTGAAGCTTGTTCATGTAAACCAGTCTGTGGTACAAGGTCAGGACATATTTCTAGTGAAGGTGGGAAAGCAGGTAGAAAATCAAGTTTCCCAAAACTTTCTTAGTTCTCTTTGATGGAGTGAGCTCTGTTAAATAGATCACTGACCGTATGGAGATATACCACTGTCTTGTACAGCCTTCCTGTACTTGAAAGTGAAATTGGTGTTTTAGCGACTGTTCCCTGCTGCAGTGTGTTAAACTGAGTTGATTGATACCTGAAAACTGTGGCTGTTCATCAGGGCTTTAAAAATTTTACTTTTTTAATATATTGTATGTGGGAGCGTAAGCCATCAGTTTGTGTAGAACTTAAGCTTTCTTCTAGAATATCTGCTCTTAAAAAAAAGTCAGGTGGGTTCATTGATCTCAAAGGCTATATATTGGACTCATTTGCCTAGTAAGTAGCTTTAAATTTTGCCCATCAGAATTATTCTAGCAAGTTGCTCAGATCAGGTGGGTGTTTCAAGCTTCATGACACTTGGCTAGTAATAGTATTTATGATCAGTCCCAGATAGCTTAGTCAAACTGCATCTGCTCACCATGTTTGGGAGCAATTCACTGCTGAAAAACGGAGAACTGTGTGTTTTTAACATGTCCATTGCCATTGGAAGACTTCTCTGGTTTTTTCTCTTTAAGGCCGGTTGCAGAAGGTTCATTTTCCAACAATAACATTTCCTGTTTCAAAATGATCAGAAGTTTCATGCCATACCAAATTGTTCACGAGTTAACTTTACAGGTCTTGTCTATTTGATGGTACCATTAACGTAGTTTTTTTAATTACACAGCATTGCAATACAGTGCCATTTTGCAATTTCTTTGCATTGTACTTGAAAATAAGTTGAATTGCAGACTATTTAAAACTGCTTTCCTGCGCTTTCAGTAGCAGTGAGAGCTTACCTTACGTGAAGCCTTTATGTAAAAATATATTTTGTAACAACCTCATAGATCTTTAACAAAACCAAGATTTGTATTAGCTTTGTATAAATGTTTGTGGCTTACAATTTTATATGTTTAACTTTTTATAAACTTTCCAGGGACTACTTTTTATTGTAAATTTTTTTTTCTCCTTGCTTTAGTTTAAGATTGGCAATAAATTATTTCTAAGGGAGGTCTTAGAAGAAAAAGCATCAATTCCTTTTTATAAAATGGTTAAATTGATTAATAGTTTAAAACCTCTTACACTTGCTTGTACATTGCTCTGTACATACTCTCCAAAAGTGTTGCCTTTCAGCTATTAATATTTGCCTTGTGTACAAAAATTACTGACGATGAATAAACATATACAGCCTCATGTTGGTATTATGAAATTATTTTTTCAAATTAATGATGTGTGGAGGCAGCCAACTGACTTTTTTTGTTGGTTGGCTAAGGCCAGCTGTTTTGCTCCTGCTACATCTTTTGTTTCAAATAAAATATGTAATAGAGTTAGTCTCTGGTCTCAAGCAAGCTCTGTGCTAAAAGGGCTCATCCAGATTCTTGTTCCGCCTGATTGCTTTCTCTCCAGTAGAGTGGCAAAAAGAAATTGCTGACTTGCATTTGACAACCAGTTTGGTACTCAATATTTAAAATATTGATGACACCTGTGTGTGTTATGGCGTAAGTGGCAAGTCTCTGTATAAATTATGTATCTCAGTATTGCAGAGTTAGATTTTACTCTTTTTTTTAAGCTGTTTTCTGAATAAGCCAGCGTCTGCCTCCTCTAGAAATGGATCACTGGCTGTTTTGTAATCGGCTGCAATATGAAGCAATGTTTTGCAGAAAAAACATTAATTTCTCCCTGTCAGTTTTTATAGGCCTGAGATGCTTCGTTTTCCACAACAGCCCTTGGATTTGGCTGGCATGCTGTGGACACTAAATCTCTGAAAATACTCAGACCAAGTCATGCTTGTTTATAGAGTTAGTGCTCAACATTAGTATTTGTCTTGATAATCGGAATACATAAACTGTAAAAATTCTTAGTGTACGTGAATGTTGCTGTGGATTAATAGGAACCTGCACGCTCTGCCCCAGCCTCTGCATTGTGGGGAGCAGAGTTCGCTGTGGGAAGGAGCCACCTCTGCTCATTGAAATTAGGAGTTAAAAACCTGTCGGATGCCCTCAAACTTAACCCAGCTCTGCAGTGCAGTTTTGATTCCAGGCCCTGCTTGTTCCTAGGGGGGTTGTTTCTGAGAAATTGCAACCTCATCTCTTGACCACTTTTTTGCACTGAAACAGTTATATCAAATGAACAGCATTTGTGATGTTGCTCTGACTTTGAAAACCAATCTCTGTAGGGTTTTTTGAAAGCTTTTTTTTTCTTGCATCTTATTTCCTGAGATGCAGTCAGCCACCTGAGGAGTAAAACTAACAACACCTGGAACTCTTCTTAACAGATTCTGTTTGTTTGGGGTTTTTTTAAGCCCAATATTAAAAGTGTAATTACATCGAGGTTCACCTAGGCTTCTAGTTAAGCTCTTGTTGACTAAAGCTGTCATTGGAAATAGGTTAGTGGTGGTGGTCTGTGCAGCAGTAACTTGCAGACTGGTAACTTCACCGCACTGATGTGCCCGGGGGCTGATGGTGGTGGGGAGAGCCGAAGGAGGGGCAGGGAAGGAGCGTGTTACAGGATTTATGTGAGCAAGTGGAAGTTTCTTCCCTTTCACAAAGCTCTTAATTTAACAGAACACCTCATTGCGTGTACTACTGAATGTAGGCTGGGTTTTCGAGCCTCTTCCTTCCTGTTAAAGTAACTGGGTGATTACACAATAACTGACATAAGGGAACGAAAATGGAGTGGAGCTGTGCCGAAAGAGCTTCTTCCCTGGCTGCCCTGCCTGCAGCAGGAGTGGCTTCAGAGCTGACCCAAGGAGTCCCCTTCCTGCAGGGGAGCTGACCTGACTATTAAGCTGTACAGCAGCTGAAGGGCAAAGTGCTGGAGGAGCGGGTGCCAAGTGAGCAGAGCCCTTCAGGGAACGCGCCTGGAAACAGGACAAGAGTCTGCGCTGGCCCAGACCCTGCTGGTTTTTTCTGTAAAACAAAACAAAAAGTTAATAGCATCAAGTTACTTAATGTACTGCTTAGCTGTGTTTTCCACACAAGCTGAAATGT